AATTTTTTTTTTTGTGTAAATATAAAGAAAATATTTTAAACAAAAAAATTATAAAATATTATTTAGAGTGAAATATTAATGATATTTTTAAAATCATGAGAATAATAATGATTGTTTTTTTATTGAAAATAAAGATATTACGATAAGCCATATTATTATCTATGAAAATTTCAATACAATCGTACCATTCTTCTCATCTATGTAGATGACATTCTTCTCACAGGAAGTGATCCTCTCTATATTAACTCTCTCATTACACATTTGCATACAACCTTTTCCATGAAGGAGCTTGGCCTTGTCAATTATTTCTTGGGTATTTCTGTCACCAAAACTGCTTCTGGTTATGTTCTTTCTCAGCAAAAATATGCCTCAGAGTTGTTAGCCAAGGCTGGTATGAGTAACTGCAAGTCTTACTCTTCTCCCATGGCTACTAAGTCCCCTTCTAGTTCTCTTACTGCAGCAAATGATACTCTCTTTTCTCAGCCAGCTTTGTACAGAAGTTTGGTCGGAGCTCTTCAATATCTTACCCTTACCAGACCTGATTTAGCTTTTGTGGTTAATCATCTTTGTCAGTTCATGCACTCTCCTATGACTAGTCATTTTCTCTCAGTCAAAAGGTTACTCAGGTATCTTAAAGGCACCATCTCTTATGGGCTTCATTTCACTGCTGGCCCTCTTCTTCTCACTGCTTATTCAGACTCCGATTGGGCAGGTAATGTTCTTGATCGAAGGTCCACCACTGGTTTCTGTGTCTATCTTGGTCCTAATCTTATCTCTTGGTCTTCCAAGAAACAACCAACTGTGGCTAGATCTTCATCTGAAGCTGAATATCGGGCTTTAGCACAAACTTCCGCTGAACTTAGTTGGATTGGGATGTTGCTTGCTGAACTTCATATTTCTGTTCCTGTGCCTACCCTATGGTGTGACAACTTATCTGCCATAGCTATGAGTCACAATCCAGTGTTTCACGCTCGTACTAAACACATTGAGGTCGATTATCACTTTGTTCGCGAACGCATTGCCTCCAAGAAGCTTCATATCTGTCATATTCCCACTTCTGATCAAGTTGCTGATGTCTTTACTAAACCACTTTCTGTTACTCGTTTTCAATATCTTCAGCACCAGCTCAATGTCCTTCCTAGTCCCCTGAGCTTGAGGGGGGCTGATAAGCAATCTGAGACCCCACACACTCAAGCCACTCAAGCAGCCAAACAAGCTACTGTTTCAGCACAGAAGGCTTCAGCTTATCAGTGCATTCTAGAGTATTCTTGAGGTAGTTAGTTTGTTAGGAAGGTAGTTAGTTTGTTAGGCCTTAACCACAAGTAGTTAATTGTTGGTTAGGTAGTTGTGGTCATTATCTCTTGTTATATATACATAGACCATCTCTGTATTTTGTGTGTAAGTGAATAATATCAAGAACTCCATTTCTCTTCACAAATCCTCGTTAATAAATCCTAAATCTCAATCTTAAACCAGAAACTCCAAACAATATTCTATAATCGATTCCTATGTGTAGTTGAAGTGTTTGATTTTTGAGTAATGCTATACAAACAAATAAACAAAAATTCATACAAAAATCTTATATAGAATGATGTGATTAAATTCTAGACGTGTTACTTAAAAAAAAAAAAAATTGTCATTTAATTACAAAATTGGCACCACCACCACCACATCCTTTTAGTGACAGATTCTGTATTAAAAAATAAATAAATTATATTCATACAAAAAAAGGCTACAAAAATAATGTGTAAATGCCTATTTTGTAAATAAAGTTCTCTTTATGATCATTTTGTATTAAAATGAAAGATTCACGTCAAATCATATCATTTTGTATAAAAATTATGTGTTAATATATAAACTCATATTAATGTTAGAATATCATTTTCCTCTCTTGATTTTTTGGTTTATTATGTTTATTCTTGGGCTTTAGTGAAGCAATGCTCCCATTTTCAAAGGCAATAGCAGAGTTGGAACAAATGGTGGTGAAGATGGTGTTTGAGAGCTATGGAGTAGAGAAATACTACGAGCCTCACCTCAAGTCGGCCTCATACCTATCCCGAGTAATGAAATACAGAAGGCCAGAGATGAATGAGAGTAATATGGGTTTTGTAGCTCACACTGATAAGAGCTTTATGTCTATAATTCATCAAAAACAACAAATTGATGGTTTGGAGGTTAAAGCCAAAGATGGAGAGTGGTTTGGTGTTGAGCTTTCTCCTTCATCCTTTGTAGTCATGGCTGGGGATGCAATCTTGGTGAGTAGTCACTATTATCTACCTCACACACACACACACATGTATTTCACTCCCCCAAAATTAATATTTCTCACTTTCATGATATTGAACTTTTAAATGAAAGACATTCATAGCCTGCTAATATAGCAAGAAAGATTAATTACATCAATCGTTCTCAAAATATATGATGTTTAACAATTTAATTTAATTTAAATTTTTTTTTTTTTTGTGGGGTTCTTAAAATATGGTCTATTATATTTTAGTCTCTGGCATCAATGGCATTTAAAATCAATAACAGGAGGAAGGATATTTTCATAATTTCACATAAGGTCTCAACAAAATCAAAATTACCAACTACATGGTTCCAAAAAAATATATATTTTGTTGCAGTTTTGTCACCAAAAATTATGTGTTTTTGTGACCACAATTTGTGCCTTGTTTCATTCGGTCCCCTAATTTTGTTGCTTTTTTATAACAACTACTTTTTAAATGGATCTCAAAACACTCACAATGGTTTGGATCTCACCTCTTGTGATCCATTATGTGATTTGTTTATGCACAAGTGCTTTTTCTTTTAGAAAATTTTGAAATTATCCTTCTTCCTTATTGATTTTGAACAGCACTATATTATGCACGCTAATGCTTTTATATTAAAGTGTAACAAATCGTATACTTTGAAAATCAAAGTGAAAAATTAAAAGATTGAAAACTAAAGTGTAACAAATCACATATTTTACCCACCATTAGTGTAATTAACCCTACCATCTCATTGACTAAATTGTGAACCAAGAATTCGCATAAATTTTTCCTAGTTTTGCCAAATGTTTTGTCATCCAGCCTAATTTGTTCTTTTCTCTCTAATCCATAATCCTTATTATTGTTTTGTGGTGCTTAATCTAAGATCCAAAGTAACAAATAGTTTTTTTTTTTTGGACCTAGGCATGGAGCAATAACAGGATTCACTCTCCTCATCATCGAGTCATGATGAACGGCGACAAAGACAGATACTCCCTTGCACAATTCTCATTCATGAAAGGGATGGTGAAAGCACCAGAGGAATTAGTTGATCATGACCACCCGTCGCAGTTTAAACCGTTTGATCATATTGAGTTTCTTGAATTCTACAGTAGACCGGAGAACAGAAGGCTGGAGAGTGCTATTAGAACCTACTGTGGCATTTGAGATATGTCTGTTGATCCGATAAAACTTAATCTGTCTTAGATTTCTGTATGTATTTGATAATTTTCATGGTTAGGTTTGTTAAGGTTATATTTGTAAAAATCAAGGATGTGTGGTCTTTATAGTCCTTTACCTTAAAATGTCATGTTATCTAATCTGTGTAATTAGGTTGTTATGTTTGGTACGCTAAAATGGACTGGAATAGAAAGTGTGCGTTGCTACTCAAAAGTCGGCTTGAAGTATATAATAAAAGCTCTCTTTGATTATATTGTCTTCTGCTTGAATTTTTTTTTTTGTTTTTTGGTTAACATTCTAGGAAGTTAGAGTTATTAGTTTGTTAGTAAAGTTAGTGTATAAAAGTATACCAATTAAAAGGGTTGTCATCCAGTGGCGGAGTCAGAAAATTAGGTTAGAGGGGATATTTATTAATTATAATTTTTTATTCAAAAAAATTCATGAGCAACATTAAGATAAAAATCATTTTATGAGATAAATTTAAATATAAAAAATTACATATTCATTATTAATAAGAACAAATCAAAATTCTATAATAGCGTGGAATAGTTTGGTGTTAGATGATGATGCAAGTTTGTAATTTTAGCACAAAAAATTATGGGTTAAAATTCCTAATTTAAAAAAATAAAAACACATCATTTATATCACAAATTATTATAAAATCTATTTAATTTTAATTTGACAGAAAAATATTAAAGAGATGACATTGCTTATAAATGATGTGTTTTAAATAAAAATTATTAAACAATCTTAGAGTACTATATGACGTTACTTACGTGATACTCAAAGCATATAAAATCACAAATTATGCTAAGAGGTATGTTAACTACTTGAAAGTAATGAGTTCATTACATCCAATCTATAATATTTTTCGCCACACTATTGATTTAAACTATTATATAAATAATATCACATAATGTTCTCAAAGTATCAAATAATTACTCTTTTTTTTTTTTTTTGAAACAGGGGTTGCCATCGTCAAAAAAATTTATTTTTTGTTAAAATATATATTTTTTTGTAGTTAATGAATTTTTTAAA